TTAAATTTTAAGGATACTATAATAAGTGCTACTAGGTAGCTAAATATAATTATATAAAAGATATTAATAAATATATTAGCCTTATTATATACCTAAACTTTATACCTAAATTAGGTCTTAATATCCTTAATTATAAGACTATTATATACTAGAAAGATAATTTAGCTAGAAAACTAAGCCTTAAATTTAGAAGATAGCTCTTTTATAGTATTAACTTTAGAGAGGAGGTATTATATATCTACTTAAATAAAGATAAGTAGGTTTTAAATAATATTAGGGTTACCTTTAATATTAATAGCATTATAGCCTTTTTAAATAACCTTATTATTATTAAAAAGGGAATTTACTAATCTTTTACCTAAATAACTATATCTAATCTTTAATTTAATCTTTACCTTTACTTAATACTTATTATATTCCTTAATATAAATAGAAAACAATATTAAGTCTACTAGCCTATATACTAGATTCCTTACTATATATTTAATTATATTATTAGATTTAAGGATATATCTTTATATCTTCTATTCCCTAACCTATATTAAGAAAAGTAAAAGTATAGTAAACTTAAAGATAAAGACTTTTAATTATAAATAAATAGTATTTTACTTCCTATAATATATTAATATTATAATATAGCCTATATCTAGTATTATCTATTAAGCTATAACTATAATTATTATAATTTTATTACTTATAGAATAAAGGGACTTTTTTAATATATATATCTAGTAATATAAAAATAATAATTAGTATATTATTTACTACTAAAAATACTAGTAGATATTTAGGCTAATATTACTATTACTATTTAAGAACTAGGATTCTAATAGTTTTAGGATATTATTATTCTCCTTTAAGTAAAGAACCTAAAGGTTTTTATAAAAGATATTATATAAGAAAAGATAATATTATAATTTAAATAATATTAAACTAGTATAATTAATAATAGCTATACTATAATAAACCTCTATTTTAATATTAGGAAAGAAACTTGCCCTTAGCAGCTATCTTAAGTTATACCTTAAAGCTAACTAGTAGCTAGTATTATTAACAATCTACTATAAAAATAAGTAGAAATACTACTTTACTGGCAATATTACTTAGAATTATATACCTTCTAGGTTAGTAATAAGTATATTAATAATAAAGGGATTTAAAAATAAGTCTTTTATCTATTTAATATACTTTAAGATACTAGGAGTCTTATTATAAAGACTAGAAAGCGCTCTCCACACCAAGCTATTAGTCTTTTATATTCTTAATTTTACTTTAGTATTAAGAAAGTATTTATTATAGGAAATATATATTTATTTATAAATATAGCTATTAAAATGCTTGCCCTTAATAAAAAGCTAAGAAAGATATAAAACCTTATTAAAGGTAATCTTAATTACTAGCTAACTATATTAATTAAGGCATACCTATATATAAAGCTTTAATATTACTCTATTATATTAGGATTTATATAAAAGTCTTTTAATATTTAAGAAAAGTATTATATTTTAAAGGAACTTTTTTATATTATTAAAACTAAATAAAATCTAAAGAGCTATATAATAAGTGCCTTATTATACTTATTAATAATAGTTTCTTATATTATAGTTTTATAATTAGTATTTTCCTTATATAAGTATAGTATAATATTAATAAGTTTTATATAGAGTTTAAGATAGTATATAGCTTTTAAAATCTATATTTTATAACTTAAAAATATATAAGAATTATATTTATATTTCTTTATTATTTCTAATTCTTATATATAGGCAGATTAATATAAAAGGTTAGTAGCTACTAATAAGATATATAATAGTAACTTAGTATAGGTTAGCTAAATAGACTTTATTACTATAAAGGACTTAGATTTAAGCTTATTATAAAGAGGTATAATTATACTTAATTTCTTAATAAGATTAACTAAAATATACTTACTTTCTACTAACCTTATATACCTTATATAATATTTAATAACCTATTTATATAAAATATATATTATACTTAATATTACTGAGTTTAAGATATATAAATTAACTTTATTTAAGTAAATAAGGCCTATTAGTAAATACTTAAGTTTAGTACTATTCCTAGGTGCCTTAACCTTATAGAAAATTACCTTTAAGAGCTATATCTATATACCTTTTATAAAAATATTTTTTTTTATATTAAGTTAGCTTTAAAGCCAAAATATTAAGAATTTATATTATTAAAAGAGATTCCTTTATATTATAATAGTATTAATAATGCTATATTAAAGGATTACTAGTTACTTTAGCTTATATAAGGAAATTAACAAGTAATAAAGGATATTTATATTTTATTTACTTAGCTTTAGAAATTAAAGGATAACTATTTTAAATAATAAAGATAAAATAAAAAGCTATATTATATACTATTTTAATAGAGTTTTTATATTATTAAAACTATATAAGGTAAGGCTAATATATAAAAATAGTAATAAAACTTAAAAAGGTTATTTCTTAAAAGCTATTAGATTTTCCTTTATTTATATAGCTAGGGATTTATATATAAGGATAAAGAAGAAAATTAGTTTATTTAATAGCCTAATATATATTAAGGACTTATTAAATACTATATTAAGTCCTAATAGGCTAGGACTCTTATATATTTACTATTAGTATTTAATATTATTCTTTATCTTATTAATAGCTAGTAATTAGTAATTACTCTATTTTCTAAGGGCTATATGCCTTATATTATATAGCCTAAATAGGAGTTAATTTAAATATTTAAGAATAAGCTTTATATTAAACTAGTTTATCTTTAAAAGTAAGTATTAGCTAGGCTAACCTAAAACCCTTTTTTAGTCTTTATATTTAAATTAAATAACTCCCCTAAGAGATATTATTATTTAAAGAAATAGTGCTTAATAAAGTAGATAGAAGTTATTAAAATATTTAAGGAATATAATAGAGTTAAGAAATATATATAGTTTTTAAAGAAGGAGTTAAAAACTTATAAATATCTTTAATATAGTTAATTAAAATAATATAAAAAGCAGTATTAAAATTATATTATAATTTAATTAAATACAAATTTAAGTTTAGTCTTAAGGGATAAAGAAGCTAAGGCTATCTTAAATAAGGAGAGCCTAGTTATTATATAAAAGAAGTAGGCATAGGTTATATATAATATAAAAACTTAAGTATATAAGCTTATTAAAGTATTTAAGTAAAGATATCTATAATAAGAGAAGTCTTATAACCCTGTTTTAAGAGAGCTAAATTGCTACCTAGAGAAAGTTAAATTATATTTAGATTAATAGTAAATATAAATAAGATAGTTATAGGCATATAAAGAAAGAACTTACCTAATACCTTATTATTAAAGCTGCTTAGTTATTATTATATTACTATAAGTAATATAAAAAAAAAAGTAACTATTAAATAAACCTTATATTATAGGATATATTATAATACTTTAAAAATAAAATATATAACTAGCCTACCTTATTATATATATATAATATAAAATATTTTATTTATCTTTAATTTACCTACTAACTATAGTTTATGGCAAACTACTAGTAAAAAAGGGTCCTTAAGTTAGCTAACCCTAAGCTAACTCCAAGCTCCCTTAGAATTAACCCCAAGCTTAAACCCCCCCAAGCTTAATAACCCCAGGTTAAGATAAAATAAGGATTAATAGCATTACTACTAGTAATAATAAAAAGTAAAATAAGGTAAAATTAGAGTTTAAACTAGAAATATTAATTAATTAATTTATTTACTTACCTATCTCTTTTTTACCTATTTATATAAATATACTAGTTTAATTAGTTAATTAGTTAATTAATTAAATTAATTAATTAAATTAATACTATTAGTCTTTAACCTTAATAGTAATTATAATAATTATAATAATAATACTAAGGCAAGAGGAGGCTAGGTTATTTAATTATATAAAGAGCTTAATATTTTTATTTACCTCCTCTACCTAGTAACTATTAAGCCTAGCCTAAATTAAGTTAAGTATTATTATTATAATTACTATAAGATAGCTAGGAGATAATTACAGGAGGTTATTGCATTTACTGCCTCTTTCTTTATATTGGGCTCCTAGCTGCAGGCACTTTAAGACCTAGCTAATAAGGATATAGAGCTGCTAGCCAATAGGAGCTTACTAATTATAAGGCTGGAGATATATATAGGCTTCAGCTATAAGAGCTGCTAGTACCTAACCTATAATTAATCTAACTATAATAGGTATTGGATACTCTTTAAATATTATAAAGAAGGTAATAATAAAGATAATAATAATAAGGATAATAAGGGCAAAAGGGATATATAATAATATAACTAAGAGCTAGTTATATTTTAATTACTTTATAAAGCCTCTTATTTAAGATATTAAATTATTAAGGTAGCTTAAACCTGCTATAAATACTATAAAAGTAATTAAAGTAATAAGTATAATAATAGTAATAATAATAGTAATAAGAGTAGCTTAAGAGAGGGCTCTAGTAGTATTAGTATTAGTATTAGTATTAATTCTAGGCTATTAAAGCTTATTAAAAGCTATAAGAAGGAGCTTAAAAAGGCCGCTGCTAAACAGAGGAGGAAGGTTAAGGCGCTAAGTAATATTAATTAGGAGTCCTAGTAGGTGCAGTTTATAAAGTAGGCGGCATATCTGCAGGGTAAGGATAAGCTTGCGCTTTACCAAGCCAGTCTATCGCCGATACTAAAGACAAGTGAGCTAAAGCTTTAGAAGCAGGAGGCCCGAGATGCCAACGCGAGGCTGCGAGCGTTAACCGAAAGCTTCTGCCGTGAGCTGGCACGAGGGTTAGAGCGTCTCGATAGGGTGCCGGATGAGACGCTGAAGTGGCTCGGGAGCATCGACGCAACGAAGCCGGTTACGAAGCCGTTTGGGCATAAGCAGGAGGCGGAGACGATGATGGGACTAACTGGGAGATAAAGGACCAGCTTGATTTGTATGGACGTGATAGGCTGGCTTTGGATAAAGAGATCAGTACTGGGCACAAGATGGACAGTGGCAGAGAGTACACAGCGACCATTGGGTCATTACACGACTTTCCTCACCTCACGCATCTGAGCATCGGCATCATGCCACGTCTCGGAGAATACGATGGGTGGAAACCACCCTTTAGATCAAAGGAACCGCCCTACCGACTTGAAAAACCAGCAACTTTTCGACTGGTAGATATGTTGCCGCCTTCTCTAGAGTATCTATGCTTGTATGGGTATGCGCGGGGTGAAAGTCTAGATGTTGACGAGCATATTGATGAGCTTTTGGCTAAGAGGGATGAGAAGTTGCCGAACTTGAAGGTTGTTAAGGGTATTGATGAGCGTGTGAGGGATATAAAGGATATTCTTTATGATATGGCCGTGGCGGAGGTTGATGAGGATGAACTTGATGTGCGAGGGGAAGGATTCGAGTCTGGATGGAAGAAGGTGGAAGAGCCAAAGCAGAACTAAGAGGTAGAGGACAAATGCTAGCTGTTACTTATATTGTAGAATAATTAATTCTATATTCTAAGCGGTTTATATATAAATGGCTTCATTGCAATGCTTCATCAGCTTTCGCTAAGTGGGGTTACTCAAAGTCCGCGGTAACGAAGCTAGGATCTGCAACTTGTTGAGGAGTAACGAAGAGGAAGGTTGACATATTAAAGCTTGAAAATATACTTAATGCCGACGCGCAGACAGGCACAGGACATTCCTGTTGTCAGACTCTGCTGATTTCTTGTGATATCGGCGATAGGTTCGCTTGTTTGAACATATTGGGAATCTAGTGGCATTCGGAATTCCGATCTGACTGGTCAGACGATCGATAGCGCATGGTAATATTTTGTGCCTCACCATTAGAGTGCAACTCACCAAAGCTCGTCAAAACGACCATATATCGCCTGTATTTCCATGTTCCCTGTAAGCCCGACGTATATTATCACATCGAGATTGCGAAAATTATACTTAACTTACATACTGACCAAGGACCGCAAAGATACCACTATATGACCATCGTGTATGACACGCATCTCTATTTTAAGCTCAATGCATTCACCCGCGTCGTTTAAGCGTCAGAGTAATATATTTAGAGGCTTTCAGGGTGAATGAAATTCTTCTGATCTTCTATGTAGGGATTGAGGATAAGCTTCAAAATTCCGCGCTGGTAGAATGAAATGAAGCGACCTTGTGAAAAGGGTTATTATTAGCGACCTGTGCTAAGTAGGGGCCTACACGCCTTGACATTTTGAATAGAAGCGACCTTAAGTACATCTGAGCTTTGAAGTCTTTTGAAATTTAAGTTGACTCTTGCATATTTCTCCTAGCTTTTTATATGCTTCGCGAAGGGGCTTGTAGGCGAGTTTCTCATCCCCGCGGATAGCGAGCTCGAGAAACTCGATCGCAACACGGCATCGAAGTTCTGTAAGGCAGCGTCAGCATGAAATGAATCAAAGATGATCCACAAATACAAAGTATTACCATCACCTGGGTCATGACCAGGAGTAAGCAGAATTGGCTCATGGTGACAATTGCTTCCTGGATCTGCTATGCCTTCCCAGACAGCGCTTCCAAAGAGATAAGCAGCCCGACCATCGCGTTCACCCGCGCGTTTCTTGAGATTTTCGATTTGGAGTGTGGATAGCTGGCACTCAGCAGGTACTTGTTTTCCTTGATCACATCATCGAGCAGTTGGAAAACCTGCTCATTTATCCCGTCATCTGACATGTTTTGAAGCTGTTGTTGGATCGGAGGTGCCTGCAGGATTTCGATCAGCCTATCCTTGACAGCCATTGCCGACGGTCGTTGTCTAGGATCCTTGCTGCAGCATCTTCGCACGAGACTTGCAACTTTAGCATAGACTGGGTCGCTTTGATCAGAATCCCAAGGAAGAGTACCGGCCTTAATTGATTCCCCAATCTCAGTTACTTGATCGCCTTGCAGAACCTCTTTGTTTATGCTGAAAGGCGGCTTTCGGGAGATACATTGCCATATCAGGACTCCAAGACTGGATACGGTTTAAAAAGGTTAGTCGTTAAAGGGAAGGCGAAGCGGGATCATACCTCCAGATGTCTGTCTGTATTGTATGCTGCCGAATTTGTTGCTTTTCTGGAGCTTTATATCGAGCATCGTACTTTTCTCCGCCCGTTATCTCATTCATCTGTCAAACCATCAAATCAGTGGTTTTCATCAATAGGAGCGTTATAAGTAAAATTATGCTCCAAAAGTCTCTGGACACCCCACCCTGTAGCAACTCAATCCATTTAATAGAAATAACTTTACTTATATAGAATTAAATTAAATAAAGGTTAATAATAATAAAAAGTATATTATTTTAAAGCCCTGATTTGTCTCTTTAATATTTTATATACTATCCCTAGGCGCGAATGCAGGCGTTAATTTGTTAGGGAAGTGAGTTAATTAGGCAGTTAATCTGATCTAGTGTAATTACTGCCTACGCCAACTTAATATATTTAATTAACTTTGCTCTATTAATATTGTTATTTTTTAAGAGATCTAATTAGGGAAACATCTTTTTAATATTTAGCTTTAATTATTTCTATATATGCTTAATTAGGTTTAAATCAGGGCTATAAGCAGGCCAGTTAATCCAGGATATACCGTAATCTAACAGCTAGTTTATTATAGACTCTGATATGTAAATACGGGCGTTATATTATTGAAATTAACGAAATCTCTTATATATAGGAAGTAAACCTTCTGTTAAAGCCTATTAATAACTTAAAGAAGTATATCCTCTTTTTCTAGCAATCTAATTGCAGATTATAATAATAATATTAGATTTTCTTCCTCTTTAAATTGCTCCTTAAACTATAATTAATAATTAAGACTTTTTATAAATTATTATATTTACTAATTCCTTTATAAACTTCTTATAAGGCTTATAAAATACCTAACCTTATTTATAATTAGGTTATAATTAAACTAATAATTTATTACTAAAAATAGTCTAAAGGCATTATTAGTTAAGTAAAAGATTTCTAAGCAGTATCTATCTGCAAACTTTAAATTAATAAACCTCTAATAATTTATTTAAATCTTCTTTCTAAGCTTAATACTATAAAAGTTATTAATAAGTAGTTTCTTTAAATAGTAGTATCCTTTATATAGCCTTTTATTTATAATTATAATAAAGTTATATAACTTAGTATATTATTATTTATAAGATATAATTACTTAAAAAGTTAATAAGCTTTTTATATATAATATAATAGTTATATTTTAATAAAATTAATATATACTAAATCTGCTAAATTATAAGTTTTTAGGGATATCTAGATCTTGGTTTATTATCTAGAGTTTATAGAGTTTTCTAGTATTGAACAATATTCGCGATTATTTAAGGCGAATATCTTGCCTCGCGAGCGACAGCTCGGTATGACTTCCCGCTCTCTATAGCTTGCATAATAAGAGCTTTAACTGTATTTGTGAATTTATAGTTTCTTTGGCGCTTTGCGCATAATATGGATAAAATTCTATCCATTTCCGATAAGAATTGCCGAAGTTTTGGCTGTATTTGCAGTTAGTGGTTAGTCTGATTTTATCTGGTGGGTTGTACGTTGGCGGGGCAGCGTCCAGAGACTTTTAGACACTAATTTTAGCTACCATCCTGGCTCGATCGATCTCCGTCAAGTACGGTACCAACTGCGAGTTCTCGGTTACCAACAGAACCGTTTGATCTGTCAGGCTTTTGAGAAGGATCTCCACTGAGTGCAGGTAAGTCATCGTTGTTGCAACATCAGCGGCCACCTTGACTCTATCCATGACCTCCTCTAGACACCCCTTATCTGAGAGCGCGCTAGCTAGAGATGGAGAGCCTCGAAGGTTTTGGAACACAAGCCAACGCATTCCATTATACCTTGTGATACCGTAGAATGGATGAACCAGACAACGTGCTGAGAGCTTGCTGTAAATTGCTATATGCCTTGGACCCTTTTCTCCTACGCGCATTAAGCTCTCCTTGACTTTAGGACAAACGATGGACACTGAATGAGAGTCTGAGACTTGGAGTGTCCCAATGAGCTCTTCTGATGTTTCAGTGGTGATCTGGAGACGCGCGTCGCCATCTTCAAAGTCCACGACTGCATCATCGGTCGCACCTATACCTTCTTGATTGTTCTTGATGTCCTCAAGGATGCTGAGCTTATCCAGAACCTCAGCATGATACTGGTCCGTTCGATCAAGTTGCAGTCGACTTTCGTCCAGCAACTTGAGAACATCTTCTTTCGAGTCAAGCTTTTCTTCTATTAGCTAGTCATAAATACTAGGCGTCAAGATGAACAGACTGTGTTCTCAGCCGTCAAGTAAGTAGTCCAGACCAAAAGACTTTTTTCAACTCTGAGTAAACTGTCGCGCCAGAAGACTTCTAAAGCTTTGTTGGTCTTGGAATTTTGGCTGTTAATGATGCAGTTTTCAGCACCATCGAGTACAACACAGAGTTTTGGGAATACTTTGCTGTCGATTATGGATGTTGGCCTCTTTTGCAGTATGTCCCTCAACAGACAAACGATGTCACCAATTTCTTTACACTGGTTGTCTAATTCCCTCGCTCGGCCAATAATCCGCTCGAGCCTGTCAAAAACATCAGTGGCTCCGTTGTAAGCAGCGAGAGCCAAATCGGCCATTGTAGCTTTCGAGGTAATTTCTTCAGATCCGCGAAGTAGGTGGCGATACGTACGTGGGGGTTTGCCGGAGGAGTTGATTCTTGGAAATCAGGCTCTGGGAACTGTGCTTATCAGGTCTTAAAAACCAGGCTCTGAGCCCCATCCAGTCAGAATGGTTTCATTATGTCTTTCAAGCCATGCCACGCGTTTCACTACCATTGGACGCCACTGCCTCAGCGTCACATTACCTTGTATGTTGGTCACCTTCTATGACTGAGCTGTGGGCGGCAGTCCGAAAACTGGTGATTTCCACCAAACCCATCATATCTTCGCCCAAATCTATAACCCATCAGTTCAAATTTATCAATTTACATCTTACAATGTCGCCTTATGCTGAGACTACAGCGTATATCGTCCCCTTGATGGACTTCGAAAGGAGTCTAGTCATGGAAGTCCAGGCATACGTTGGTAAAGAAGGGACCATAAACCAGAGCAGTGACTTGAGGTCTTTTGAGATCTGGAAATGGAGCCAGCTCTTGCAAGACCTCTTGAGACATTACCTTGACACTGAAGAGGATGTTTTACGTTTTGAGGCTGGCGGTAGCCGTTCTCGGGCATATGAAGCATGTTTCTTTGGGCTTGAGAATGACGGCCACTTTGTAAAGCATCGTGCTCGAATGATGCAAATTCGAAACTCGAACGTCACCTTTGTCGATGACTTGGCTGAGAAGCCGTCTTTATTAATCAGAGCAGTCCCTGATCCGAATGATCAAGGATATTGGAGGACTTTAGACAGTATCGTTGACGAATTCGGCCGGCCATGGGATACTCCCGATGAATTTGATCTCCATCGCGGAAAGTTTGACATCTTCTCTTTGATCCGCATATATTTCCTTCATAGTCTGTCACCTCTCAGTGCTACTATGATTAGTGATAGTGTCACCAACCACGATGTCTTTCTTGAACACTATACTGTTAGTCCTAACCAGAAGACCGGCCATGGCGATAAATTCCAGGCTCAAAATGCTTTCATCCATCGAATAATCAAGAAAGCTAAGAAGCCTGCAAACATACTCTCAGATGAAGAGCTCATTGTACGTCTTCGACTATTTTCTGTAGACAAAGGCTAATTCCCCACAGGCGCGTATTTTGAATCCCACTGAGAAGGAAGCCCAGGCGAGCAAAGATATAGTACTTAGTACCCTATCCATTGCGCCTGTGTTAAATGTCTGATTGTTATGTAGGGCTCTATGCTTTCATTTGCTGCTGCGACCAGGCAATACCCTGATCCGAGAACGTATCTGAGCTATATAACATGGGAGGATTTGAATCACACATTCAAGACAAGTCTGGAGGACGTCCTTCTGGGACCTGACAGGTATCCAATTAATGAACAAGTCATTGTTGGATGGGTGACTTGGAAGCCACCTCGTGATGGATTCGCTTGTAACCACCACCTAAATGTTGAGGATGAAACTTTTGCATACACATTGAGGACTGGTTGGAATCTTCCTGGCCACAGTGTTAGCGGCAAAATAGTCTTCTCGCTGACTCGACTCGAACATAGCAAGCTTATCTCAGAGCTGGATAGGTACTAGTCTACCTGGGTAAGCCAAAGGCTTAACTAGCCTGTTCTTCGTTATGATGCTAACATTTTCCCTAGAATGACTGTGCAATAACAAGAAGTCCCACCGGTGAAGTTTTAGTTCTAGAGACAGTACCCGGCTTACGATTCAGAGGTAGAGCAGCTAGATTTGATCATGCTACTGCTGTAGCCCATCTTAGGAACATGATCGAATCTTATGCCTCGGAAACGCTGGATCGAACCTATGTCAAAGAACTACTTGGACTAGAGCCTGGATACAAACCACTGTTCGAAAACTCACTAAGAGTCATTCATGCAGAGCAACTATCCCCAGTTGATTGGAACCGTCCTATCGGGTCAGGACGCAATGGCAGAGTCTATGCATCAGCTTGGCAACATCCAGGGGGGGTTCTTTCGACGTCAATGCCTTGCCAAATTGAGGTTGTTTTGAAAGAGATCACGCCAAATGACTGTCAGGTTTCTTGTTCGTTATAGAAGTTTATGAAAGAGGTCTGTTTTCACGGTAACCAGCCACTGTTTGTACGAAAGTATTGCTGACCAGCTATTCTTAGTTGGATTCAACCTACGCAGCCCTTGGCTCACAGCCAATGTGCTGTGTCAAGTTTTTTGGGATCACCCAAATGAGCCTTCTGCTAGATGAGAACCCTAGGCTGCTCTTTGTGTTTGAGCGTGCCACTCGTGGCCATGTTGAGCCATTCCTACTATGGCATTTATCGCCCCTTAGATTCTATGACTCTTGGAGAGCACTAGCAGATTGCTTCGTTTCTGTCGCAACTGGCCTAGCATTCATTCATAAACATGGAGTCGTCCACAGGTATGCTGACCAACATGAGCAGCTTTCTAAGATTCACAAGCTAATCTTTGTAAATAGGAATTTACACTTGGAAAATATCCTTGTTATGGACGAATTATACCCAAACGATGTTGAAATTCCTCACGCGTTCAATTACCTCATCAGTGACCTCGGTGAAGGGAAACAGCTGACTCAACAACTAACAAGCCTGATGAGTGGCGAGACTGCTTTTGCTAGCTATGGTGCCATTGACTTTCGAGCACCTGAACAATTACAGGGCCTACCCAACATAGACGCCTTCGCAGCTGAAGTCTTTACTTTCGGCGTTGTGGCATGCAAACTTCTGAACTGCAGATCCCTCGTGAGTTCAGTCGAAATACCAAGCCATATCAGAGACAGTGCATCAGAAGACATAGCTGAATTTAATCATAAAAAGACTGAGAAGAAGGAGCTTCAAGACGGGCATATCGTTCCGCGAGCAATTCGTAGGGTCATATCACGCTGCCTATCGCGCAGAGGCGTTGACCGACCCGACATGAACCATATTTTGAATGAGTTGGAAGACATTACGTCAGATTTCACAGAAGACAACATGGACGGACAAGCAGGGCGAACTGTGGACTGGTGTTATTGGGATTGGGAGGCAACCTTCCGTGCTGCACTGAGTGACGGCGATTCTGACTTGAACTCAGATTCTTCCGAAAGTTCTCGATCTTCCGACTAAAGAACAAAGTGTCGAAGGGTCATGCCAGGTCCCATTCACTAAGTAGCTATAATACTAGCTATTAATTTTTTATTAAATAGTTATAATTTTACTTTAAATCTCATATATATAAATGGCTTTACTGTAATGCTTCATAGCAGCTTCAGCTCGCCATGTCTACCGTCCACAAACGGATACGCAGTCCATGCTATTATTGGTCAAAAAGCTCGGAACAGCCTCACTGCGTGATCGTCATTGCAGGATGCCGATCCACGCCTTGTGTGTCACTGAAACGAACTGGGTTCCTTTCATCAATCTGCCACGGCAAATTATCTTCTCGTCAAAGCCAGCTACTCGCCCGCTCGACTCGATAGTCACCATCTACCACATGCAATCCTTCCTTCGGTACAACCCCACATATGCCTCTACCAACCACTCGCCACCACGTCAAAACGGGCTGCCGAACCTGCAAGTGCGTTACCCTGCCTCCGCAGGTAAACTTGGTACTAACCACTTATAAAGGGCCTGAAAGATCAAATGCGACGAATCTAAGCCCTCATGTAAGCGCTATATATCGTCACGCCGCGTCTGTGGCGGTTATCAAGGCATAGCTAGCCTGATATGCTACCGCCCAAACCAAATATCTGCATATAATTAGAAAGAAGGCAGAGCGTTCCAGTTCTTTACAGAAATAGTTAGGCCGGTCCTCTCGGGTTTTACTAACTCTTACTTTTAGATATATCTAGTTATATAGTTTAGCTACTTTAAGCCTACTATACGCCATGCTGTTTTATTAATTAGCTTGCTTTATAAAGAATTTACTAGAGGCTCTTATATTACTTAGTAGGTCTATAGTAGTACCTTTGCTATTAATTACTATAATGCAGCTATAAAGCATATTAAGTCTACTAGTAATAAGCAAATAATACTAATTCTCTATATATTCCTTATTTATATTAAGTATTTATAAAGAGATTTTAATACTGCTTTATAGCACTATTATTATAGTATTATAATTCTTAATAACTCTTTGCATCTAGAATGGATATATTAGTATCTTATTCTTATATTTAGATATTTAAGCATAATGCCATTTTTCTTTAGCGGTGGCGAACTACCAACATGTCTTCTGTAGCTTATTAGATTCGAGATACCAATGCCTTTAGAGTTTAGTAATGCTTGAGAAGCGTAGATAGTGATTAATGAATTGATGATTTGGATAATAGGGTGCCTATATAATAGTAATGATAATAGGATTGCGCTGGCTTTATTATTAGAAGACTAGGATTATAAGATGAATTACCTTAAGTGTGTACTTCCCTTATCTATAACTGCAGATAAATATGCTATATATAAAATGCGATTTAAGTATAAAATAGCTAGAATTTACATCTAATAGCAAAAGTTATATATAGAAATATAGTGGGATTAGCATCTTAATATTTTTTGCAATACTGTAAAATTAGCAGAAGAAGCTTTCCTCCTTTTAACAGCACTAGACCACCAATGCATACCACAATCAAGCTTTAGCTTTAAAATAAGTTAGTTATTAATGCTATTCTTTATTATCCTTAAGTATCGAGACCTGAAAATTTATTATATGGCATTATCCTGGATGGCGCAGCTTAGACTGGCTAAAGAAGGCTTGTTTGACGTAGGGACTCTGTATAGAGTTGGAAGATGTCTTATTGAGCTGGAACACGATACATCACTTAATGATGCCGAGGAACTTGAAAATGATGCTATACCGCCGGAGGAGAAACGCTATTTCGCTATCCTGATAAATCACGAGTTGGAAGTCATCTCCGAGAAGGATGGCACAGTCAGTTACAGAAGACAGGTCAAGTTCCTCAGAAAAGACATAGAGGATAATATAATTGCCCGAGAGGAATATATCTATGATGGTAAGCCTCGTGGATGCAGCGTTAAGATTCCGTCAATGAGGTGTGTATATCGCCTGTAGGATGATATATCTTTGGAGTGTAACAAGCTAGATTATTCACTTTGAACTGCATTACGTGTTCCTTACCATATGTGTCGGCCGTGATTCTCTTAAAGCTAGATCCAATCCGCTAGACGGTTTAGGATAGGCCTTTGTATTTCCCGGACGCTCGACTGTGGGAATATCCCGAGAGTCTTCTAAGCTCAAGTATAAGTTGCATGATATTTCAACAATGGAGTCTCGATATCGACCACTGAAGTCGATTGAGATTTGGACCTTTCTGTCAACAACTATCTGACTTGTCAACACTCTCATTTTCCATGTCTTCTGCCATTTTGTTCCTCAGTTCTCTCAGCTATTTACTCCTGCTCAGATTAAGACCATCACCGCACAAGGTGTCGCTGTACTGCAACATTCTTGAATGGACTTTGCGGTTTTAAGGGATAAAGTCCTTACCTTAGCTACGAAACTGGATCTGAATTTACCGATCTCGGCACCGCCTATGACGAAGAAACGGAAAGCTAAGAGTTAAGCATCAGCAGCCTCGGTGGTAAATGGGTCAAACGATACCTGTTACTCCAGAACTCAAGCGCCCTTCCCAGCCTGGAATACGTAACCTATAATAAACTGAAGGAGTGCGTAGTGCATAACCTGAATAAGTATGCAGACTCTCTCTAGATAACATACCCCGACCTCAGCGCCTTCAAAGCTACAGGCGGCAAGGTCATCCACATCTACGGCAAGTCAGACGACTCTATCCCGGCTGGCTTATTAGTATACTGCTACGACTCTATGCATAGCGTCATGTTTCCAGATAAGAGCTACAATAAATAAGAGCATGACTGCTCTAGATGAATTTTATAAACCGTTCCTCGTCCCTGGCGGAGCTTACTATAGAAGTAACTCTAACTAGCCTTATAGTGGCTGGCCCTAAACCACGTTGCAAACTGCTATTAAATGCGTTAAGGAGGATATTATTCATGAGACTCTGAAAGGTACTGATGGCATTGTTACTATCTGCCGCTGGCCTCTTTGTCCTCCCTGGTCCAGAAAGAATTTTTTATGCTTTTGATCTGACCTTGCTATTCCTGACTAAGCCTGATCGACACGCTTTTACCGCATTAAGAAAAGCTAAGACCCCGTTCTGATCCTGTCGTACAAAACCACTATGCCAAATAGGATTAAAAACGTAAGGACCCTACATTAGGGCCTAAGGCAATAGGGCTTATATACTGTTCAATAGATCCCAACACAACAATAGTTCATTCTTCATCATCAATTATGAATCCCCACACAGAGCCACGACCTGCGGCTTCGATCAACACTACACCCTCAGAACTTCTCCATCGTATATTTGATTTTCTGCTACACTCTAGGGATCCAAATGAACCAACGGCTGCTCGTGTTGATGACATCCGCTCCCTCCGCTTGACATGCCGACGTTTCTGCCAATGGGCCTCACCGCTGCTCATCCCGGAAATAAGTGTCTATATGACTGAGACGTCTCTGGAGCGCTTGAAGAATGTTTCTAGTCACCAATTGATCAGATCTGGGGTGCGCAGCGTTCACGTCAAGCTCCCATACTACGAACAACGCATGGCAGCCGACCTCACCCACTTCGCCTATTCTCACATCGCAGGTATGAGTCAGCATCTTGACCACCTGAAAGATGTGATCCCGGGCGAACTGCACGAGAGGCTATCCTACAACGTGCCCGATTGGGTCAATTACGAAGTACTTGAAAAGGGCAAGGATATCATTTCTGCTTGGAACTCAATTTATACCGCAGATCCAGAAGACCCGCAGCGGGACTCGGATGAACACATCGAGTATCGGAAAATCCTAACAGATGCCCATCGTGAATATCAGCTTTTGTTTAAAGCGCAACAGCAAATGCGAGAGAACGGGACCTTCCTCACCACCATTGCTTCCGCCATGGCGAGAATGCCTCACGTCGATAGGTTAGAAATCACTGATGGTGAAGATGCTGTTTTCAAGAGAGATGCCTATCTGATCGACCGAGACTACCGCATATCTGTACGAGCAGTCATGTTGAGACCTCATACCTGGTCAGACGCTTCAAATCTCTACCCCGACCCTGATTTCGAACCACCAATCGAGTTCTTACACAAGCTTCCAGTTGAGATACACAGAGCAGGAGCAACCTTGCGAGAGATGAAACTCCAGTGCTCTGCGCCCTGCAGCTACGCCAATCTCTCCATGTCTCCCTCTGAGCGAGTTTCACTCATCGAATCGCTCCAGAACTTGCAAACGCTCACTCTTGACGCAGTGAAAGGTTCCATGACGGGATGGTTTTTCGACCATCAAGAGGATGCGATGGATATAGTTTCAGACTTCCTCTCAGCACTTCTCCAGCCTTCTGGTCTCGAGAATCTCACCATTAACTTTTTTAATTTACGCAGTTTGAATGATCTCCTCGCTGGAGCACATAACAAGCGTTTAAAACGGCTACATTTGGTCGGGGCTAGGTTAAAAGCTGGCAAACTCGGACAATACCTGGCCCGTGTTGAAGGTCCATGTGATGTTGTCCTGGAACATGTGGAAATACTTGGTGGGAGATGGGCAGACGAAGCTGATGAACTGCGGGGTCTGTCAAGAGCCTCGACTACAGTTATTCAGCCCTTTGGCGACGAATTTCGTCGCGGGCGGTCTACAAACGTGTGCAATGTTGAGGAGGAGAGGATGCTTAACGATTACCTCCAGAGAGCAAGTTCTGTGAATCCTCTCAGAAATAGGAACATCTAGTATGGCACTGTATCTAGATTTATGAACCGACTATGGCATTTTATGACACTGCGACTCGACAAGGACTGTTTGGGAGTGCATGCCCCGTACCGAAACAGGGCGGAATGGGGATCCGAGGCGCGGAACCATAATCTGACGCTACTCTACCGGAGCCGAGATAAGCGCTGGCCTCCAGTCAGCCCAAGGCTTTTCAGCTGCCCAGGTTGGGGGCATGACCCCAGTAGATGGAAATGAACTACATAAGAAGAGACAACCCCACTATCCTCATCACTCAATTGCATACCACTCTGACGAGAACCACCATATACCGGCACCATGGACTTTTTAAATCGCTTACTTAGTAGAAACACCGATACTAAGTATAAGTATCGCAGCGCCAAACTCCCAAAAGAACCTCTAACGCCACGCGAAATTAAGGAGATATACAGGAAGCTGCATCCCGATACGCACAGAGATAACGCATAGGAGCCAGAGCCTAATTTTAACCCTCGCGACTGGAGTATGCCCTATACTCAATCGCTAGAAGAAAGGTTCTCTACTATCGGCTCGCTATAAGATACACAATCAGAATCATTGCTGTTTAGCAAATTGCCACTAGAGGTACGCATGCAGATCTGGCGCCTTATTATAGGGAATTATAAGGTACACTTAACCATGCATCGTGGCAGACTTAAGCAGTCTGCGTTTAAGTCAGAGAATTATCAGTGGTTACCGCAGAGAGGACTCTTGAGAGTCCCTCTGATTTGTCGCGCAGCGTATGTATTCCCCCAGTTTGATCGTGAAGCAATTCTGACTTTATACCTTAGATACATAGAGTCCATCTCGTACCTCTACTCTAATAACACCTTCTGCTTTGGCTTCGGCTAAGCCAGCTTAAAGTCAGCGCTCTTATCGCTAGATACTATACTTCCTAAGCAGCATATTACTTCTATATAATATATCAAAGTCAGATAGCATCTATATGCCGGTATGAGTTAGTACTATAATAGCCACCCTTAAGCCTAGGATATTATACTAGATATCCTAGCGCCTAAGACTAAAATGCTATAGAATAATGTTTGCACTAAGTTCGTCAAACTATCGCATCTGCAGACACTGCAGATTATGGTCTGGCTATCTGGTAATAGGAGAGCGCAGTTTATAGGGATAGAGAGAGACATACTTGCGCCGCTTCTGGTAATAGGACATTTAGAGCGGTTTAATGTTCATTTGCCCTGGAAGCAAGACGATACTGAGATATAGAAGGATACGCCGTTTTCGGTTTCTAGGCGTTTCAGGGTCAAGGAGATATATGGTGTGAGCATTCCGTTACTCGATGATGACTTTTACTGGTCGGGCTCAGCTGCTCAACATAGGATATATAGGTGAGCAGTTGTTCTAGCCAAGAACATATTATTAATTATGGATAAGTTGGTCATATAGAAACTTCAATTCGAAGATGGCGACCTGTAAATGTTTCCAGACAGCCAGTGCTGGGTTTGTGAAAGGCTTCAATAAAGCAAACTAGTCGTAACTCTGCCAGCGGAGTCTTTTCCAGACGCATAAAAAGGGAAATGCGAAGAATTCATCGCAGGCAGTCTTGTGGCGGTAGAAACCATGAATCTAGGCACCTTCTCTTCCTCCTTGAGTTTCCATCTCATGCACATCCTTGCAGAATTGACAGTAGAACCGCCACCTCGTTGCACCGTAAACCCACCCAAGCCCATCAACATACAACGGATAGAGACCATCATGAGACTGTGGCCGAATATCCGAACACATACAGCAAACCCCGTACCCGCTGCAAAACCCTCTTCTCCAGTGTTCACAAAGCACGATCGCTGATCGAAGTATATCGTACTCTCTCTCTGCTTTCTGGCATCCCTCACAATACTCTGCCCATCTTGGCGCATCGCGGTCCCAGCCTGTGGCGTCGATGTATCGTGGGTAGCGACCGTCTGGGTTAAGGGTTAGGATAGGGTTAGTATTAACTATCTAAGCTATCTTTGCCCTAGTGTTTTTCTCTAGCTAAGATCTAGCTAATAAGATAGAAGAGTGGAGATTTTTCTAAGATATAAGGAAATAAGAGATAAGTTATAAGGAAAGAAAAGGCAGATAAGAGATATAGCCTAAAGGCTAGGAAAGAGATATAGCTAAGAGAGAGATATAGCTAAAAGAGAGATATAGCTAAAAGAGAGATATAGCTAAAAGAGAGATATAGCTAAAAAAGAGAGGTATAGCTAAAAGAGAGATATAGCTAAAAAGCTAAAAGAAGATATAGCTAAAAAGCTAAAAGGAGTCTAGGGAGACCTTCTAGAGGTATTCTAGGCTGACCTAGCTAGGCCTATAGGGATCTCTTTAGCTATAGAAGCTGCTAAGATGGCCCTAGTCCGGGTTAAGGTCAGGCCTATTATGGCATTAAGCTAGGCAGCTGCTATAAGGCCTACAAGCTCCTAGAGCTTCTTATAGGTCTTGGCGGTCTCTAAGTCTATAAGGCCACCTGTAGAGATAATAATAGGCTGAAAAAAGGCTCCTAAAGACCTATATTTCCGGCGTTTTTCCTCTGCAGCCTAACCGATAGGCCGTTAGTAGTTTGGGCCAAACTGCTAACCTCTGAAAATGGCATAGGCTAATAGTAATGCGGGGAAACCCTGTCTGGTAGAGACGGGATGGATAATAGGGGGGCCAAACTACTAACCCTAAATTACTAACCTTATAAGCAGCTAATTATAGACTTAAAGTTAACCTTAAGTCTTTACTTTAATTTAAGGTAAACTAAGATAGGAAATAAGAAAATAGAAAAAGTAAAGTAAGAGGAGAAAGATGGATAGATAATATAAAATAGAAAAGGAAAAAAAGAGGCTAGGATAGTCTATCTATTTATTTATACTACCTCTCTTTTTTTCTCTTTATCCTATCTTAATTTAGAAAGGCTATAACTAACTAGCTTAATTTATCTAACTATATATATAACCTAACTAATTAACTATAACTACAATAGCCCAATAGCACCTGCCAGACTTACTACTTAGTAATACTAATAATAATACCTAGGCAATAGGGAGAAGAATAGGTAGGCTAGAAAGAGAAAAAAGTAAAAAAAGGTAGCTTCTTTATAATAAAGAATATTAATTACTAATTTATGCCTTTTATAGCTATATAGTCTATTTCTATAACCTAAAAGGCTATCTAAAGGATTACTACCTAAATCTTAACTATTAAGTTTATAGCAATCTTATTTGCCATTATAAAGGCCTGCTATTAATGCTACTAAAAGAGGGGCTAAGGGAGGATTAACTAGCCAGGTATAGCTTATCTAACCTAGCCAAGCCTATTAAGGGTCTCCCTATCTATTATAGTTTTACATATACCTAGCCAGGCTATAGGTACCTTATACCGAGCTAGAAGTGCTTATATATATACTTTAATAACAAGCATAACGCTAAGGCAGCTAAGAGGAAGACCTAGGCAGACCTTTAGGCTGCTATATATCTACAGACCTTCTTTATTAGTTTAAAGAGGGCGATTTATTACTTTTGCATTTATAAAGTAAGAAGAGGGAAAGGAAAGAGGGAGGAAGGGGAGGGAAGTAAAAGAAGAAGGAAAAGAGGAAGAGAAGTAATAATAATTACCTAGCTAGAAGACTAAATAATAATTGCCTATATTACTAAAGGATAGTTACTATAGCAAGAGGAATAAAAAGAGATATAGAAGGTTATAGATAAAGGTATTTTAAGGTATAAAATAACTAACTAGCTAAAGCAGACTAGCTAGTTAGCCTACTTTACTAGCAGGAACCTAATAGATATTTAGGCCTATAGTAAGATACCTAGCTAAGGCAATAAGGGTAATAATAAGGTACTGCAGTATATAAATAAAGCTTTAGATTAACTCTTCTTTAACTGCTATATTAGCAGACTAAAGAGCATGCCCTTAATAACCTAACTACTACTAGCTAGCCTGCACCCTTATAATGCCTATAGCTAACTATTTAAGCTGCTATAGGAAAAGACTAATATAGACTAGTACCTAGGCTATATAAAACGCTTTCTATATTACTATCTTAATATATTATTACTAGAAGAAGAGGTCTTCCTAGCTAATTATAGCTTTTACTTTATGTTAAAATAAAGGGCTAACCTTAAGAAGCTCTAGGCCTATTTATAAGGGGAGGAAGATAAAGAGATTAAGGGAGATAATAATAAGGCAGAGGAGGATAAGATTAAGAGGGGCAGGCCATTAAGCAGCCACTATAATAACCCTAATAGCAATAAGGGCCTATAAGAGCAGATACTATAAGTCTCAGCAGGCTTCTAGATATAGCGGCTTAATAAGGACCTTTTTATAAGCCTGCTATAGCACTTTATTAGTATGCTAGGGATTAATAGTAAGATAGGGCAATTGCGACCGGCCTACCTATTTACCTATATGCTTGCCAGTCTTATCTTTATAAGATAGGCGCTATTAAGGGAGTAGGCTATACCTACCTAGGAGTAGGATAGTATAAAAGACCTTACCTAATAATTTACCTAAGTCTAGGATGCCTAGCTTTATAAGGCTATATACTTACCTATAGGTTATATATTAAGCTTGCTTTTATTTAGGAAGAAGATTATAAGGGAGATAGGGAGCAGGCTTATAGTATCCTAAAGTAAGTAAAATAAGATAATATACTTTATAGGCAGGCCAATCCTAATAAAAGACCTCTAGACTATAATAGCTAAAATAATAGCTAATACTAAAGACCTCCTTTAGGGTTAGCTAATATTTAAGGAGGGTAATAATAAGCGCTTTATAATCCCCTTAGCTAGTATTAAGGATAACCTTATATAGATAAGGCAGGGGTAATCCTTTATCTATTATAATAGTCTTATTAGTAAGGAGGTTAAGATACTTAAGGACCTTATTATAAGCTTCTAGAAAACTGACCTTCTTAACTAGATAGGCAAGTAGAAATAGGCAGGTATTAAAAAGTACCTTAAGCTAGTTAAGAGGTTTAAGGAGTTCTTATTACTCCTTGCCTATATTATAGGAGGCTAACCTAGCTAAGGAAAGGAGATTATAAGGCTATGCCTTATTAATAGCATTAATAAGGACTGTAATATCTTTATTATTAATAATAAGGTTATTCTTATTATATAGTACTATAAGTCCCTTACTTACTTTAACTTACTTAAGGTTATCCCTTACTTCTTGCCTAGGCAGATTAAGTAGTTATTTATAATATATATAATTTATATCTAGCTACTAATAGATTACTAGGAGGCCAATAAGTAGGAGCTATATAGGGAGAAGATAGTATTACTAAGTAACTTTATTTAGTATAATAAGGCAGTAAGAGGAGTACCCTAAAAGAGTAGTTAAATATTAGTAGCTATAAGGAGATAAATATCTTATTATATTAGCTGCCAGATTATACTCTAGGATTGGCGCTATATTGCTATTACTATTAGTAAGAAGTATACCTATAACTAAGGAGCTAGCTAGGCTAACTTTAAGGATAGTAAGGATAATTATAATAAGTTAGAGTAGTATAAGATATTAAATAACTTAGCTGCCTCTTATACTAGCTAGATAGCTGCTAATTATAGTATTATAATTAATATACTTAAATACTTAATAACTAAGTCCTTAGAGATCTTTAGGTAAGTAAGCTATTACTAATATAAGTTCCTTAACTATAATAAAAGCTTATTACTGTTATTATTACTATTAGGTAAAAAGGTTAAGCCTATTCCTAAATAAGATAGAGAGGTAAAGGAGGAATACCCCCCTAAAAAGTAGGCTAAGGTTATATCCCTTAAGGCATTATAGGCAGGCAAGATAGGGGTAAAAGAAAAGGAAAAGTAAGAAAAGGAGAAGAATAAAGAGGAGGAGGAGGAGGATATAATTATATAGGCGCTATAGGCAGTGCTATGTAATAATAATGCCTGATTTTAATTACCTTAGCAGGAAGAGGCTATAAGGCAAGCTATAGCTTAATAAAGCCTACTTATAGCAGTACTGCTAATAGGTAGCGGTAAGAGCTTAGTCTTTATAGTCCTGGCTATGCTAGTAAGTGCAGGTATTATTATTATAGTAGCTCCTTATGCCGAGCTTAAGAGGCAGCTTATTTAATGCTATATTAATGCCGGCCTAGATTATAAGCCCTGGCCTAAGGTATAGTTATCTTGGCCTAGGATTATGCTTATATTAGCTAAGGCAGCTATAATTAATAACTTCTTGCAGTAGGCAGCTAACTTAAGCGTTAATAAGAGGCTAGATTATATAGTTATTAATAAGTACTACCTAACCTTTATAGCTACTAAGACTTACTGCTTAAAGCTTTAAGGCCTTATCCTCTTATAGAGCCTAGGTTATCCCTTTATCTTCTTAACTAGGACCTTACTACTGCTTTACTAGTATAACTTTAAGGAGGCTATATAGCTATAGAACCTGCTTTATATATAGGCATTAAGTTACTAGCTAAATATATAATATACCGTCCTTTATATTTATAATAGGCAGGGCATAATAGAAGTAAAGAAATAGGTAAAGGTATAATTACTAAACCTATTAGTAAGGGAAAAGGGTATTATATATTATACTAGCTAGGCAAAATGTAAGGCCCTTACTTACTAGCTTAACTACTACTATTACTATACCTTATATAATAATAGTAACTTATAGTTTATTACCTAATATAAGGAGGGTTTTTAAGCATAGCTTTAAGGCAAGGCCCCTTATATAGTAATAATAGTAGCTCTAGGTATAGGCATTAATATTACTAGTATTATCTATATTATTTACCTTAAGGCGCCTTTTAATATTATTAACTATGCCTAGGAGGCTAGGCAGGCTAAATAAACCGGAAAGCCTATAATAGCTAAGGTTATTATTAAAGATAAAGACTAGCTAGATAAGGATATTATAAGCAAGGCCTACTTAGATATAAGTATATAAGAGGTATATAGGCTAGTCTAGACTTA